TACAAGAGCCAGAGCCTTGCGTTGAGGTAAGTTTAACTATCTCTAGCTGTAACTTTTCAACCTCGCACACTAGTTCAGGCTCCTTCCACACCAGAGGGGTGACATTCCATGTCCCAAGAGCCAGCTTCTTCAGCCAAGGATCAGAACGCCAAAGTCCCCACCCTTGACTGCCACTCACCAAACATTGCACCCGACCCCTTTGGCTCCTCCTACAGGTGTTTAGCCCATTGAAAGAGGGAGCCATGTTTCTTCTTCAGGCTGTGCCCGGCTCCATGGGTAAAAGCGTTCGCCAGCGTACCCCACCTCCAGGACTGGCTCCAGAGTGGGGCCCCAGTGACCTGCGTCTGGGCGAGGGAACACTAGGTCCATTTGTCTTGCTCATTATAAGAGGTCTTTATTATAATAAAAGTATTGTTTTCTTTAAGAGTTTTGCATTTTCTTCACTTCAATAAATATTAGAGTGTACAAGTTAAATCATTTTGCAATCAAATCAGGGCAACTTATTTATAAATGGAGTAGTTAACAGAAAAAAAGCAAATTATTACAGGATTAGCATGACTTCTTTTGTTGTTTGAAGTTGCTGCCAGTCAGATTAATTGGTCCTGCACATTTTATCAGCAAAATGCTCAGTTGAGTTTGATACAGAAAGTATTGGAACTTTGATTTCCAAGTTTTTGTTTCAGATTTGAGACCGGAACTGTGATTGGGCTGTTCCAACATATAACATTGGAATGATGTAAACCGCAATGTATCTCTGGCTTTATGTTTACGTTTTTTATTATCCCGCTGCAGTACATCACTATTTCATCTCCAGACTTTGCTCTTTTGGAGCCTTTTAAAAAAGGCCCATTTTATTGGATAGCGTTATTAAATTTTTAAGAAAGAAACACATAATAATGATGATAATGGATATTTTATATTTAGTAATAGTATAATTAAAACAACCATTGAAAAAGTTCTAGAAATTTTCCAGCAAAAGAGCAACTACAATGATTGTAAAGACATTCATCTGATACTTATTCTCCTGCATAAACAAAGAGATACTCTTTGTAAAGATCAACATAATCATAAGATAGTAAAAATTTGAGTGAAAAAGTTAAAGTCTCAATGTCACAGGGAAGTCTATTTCAGCTTTAATAATACTGGGAGAAAAAAATTAAAAGTTAAATACAGACAAAAACAAGGAATTTATTTCTGTATTAAGTAATAAAACATTGATTTTTATGAGAAATATATCAGAATGACACACATTTATAACAAATTTAAAGCATTCAAAGAGGCTTTAATAGTAGGTGCACTTAAAGAAACCATTTCCACTTGGCATTTTGAAGGAGGTTTACTCTGTGTAAAGCTCAGATATGCAGTTTGTCTTCTTCCTCTATATGGAACCAAGATTCAAGACTATGGTGAGATCCAAATAGCAATCAGAAAACCAGATTGTTTGCCAAAGAAATTAACCAAAACTTCAGAAATTATATTTTTTGGACAAACGAGTCAGACATTTTTCTATTTTGGCACCTGCACTGACGTCATTATGATGGATTAAACTAGATACAGCATATAGAAGCTTTTAATCAATTGTGAACCATAGGGGTGGAAGTGTCATGGTTTGGGGTACTTTGTTCAGACCTGGCCAGCTCACCATCATTTAATCTGCAGTTTAATGCACATCAAAAGGATAATGATAGAATTGTAAGTTAATTGGCAAAAAAAGAAAGAAAGAAAAAGACAAGCAACATGGCTGTGACTCAAGACATACAAGTAAATTCACCAAAGTTAGGCTGAGTTATTTAGAAATGGAAGATCCTGGGCCTAGGTAAAGCCCATATCTTCATCTCCTTGATATGCTGTTTGATCATTTTAAACAGTCTCTAAAGGCAGAATCTTACAGCTGAAAGTTAGAAGTGTAGTAACTTTTCTTTTACTGATATCACAGACTGATAGATGGCTAAAAACAAGCATCTCACTAAAATTACTATGGGGTAACTAACCTCTTTTATACTGAGTAGAGTGTCCTAACAGTCCTCAGCGAGAAAATCATTATCTTTAATTTGATTGGTTGTATTCAGAAAACTCTTTTAATTATTTTTATTCGATGGTAATTAAACCAGCTTCACACAATATGAACTGCAGGTAATTTATAATAAACCTACCAAAATACTGCAAATGTAACTTCTCTGTTTTGGTACATAAGTCTTTATTTTGCGATTGAACTTCAATGAAAACAAAATGGGTGATAATATTATAAAAAGTAGTGAAAACATAAATGAAAGGTAGTGCTGACTTTTCTTCTGCTCTAACTGCACTGGGAGTAACAGCAGTGCACAAATTCAGTGCAGGCTATCAGGGAGAGCTATGGTGTGATTGCATCTGAGTGATGGAAAAAAAAAGGGAAAAAAACCCAGGGCTCTTTCCCTGCAGCTCCATGGCCGTTGATTATTGGTATTTTCCGAGTTTTCCAAACTAATAAGTGGCACTATCAAGCATTTGGAAGCGCCGGGAGACTGCAGACGGGCTGCTCGGCCTAATTGATATTGAGCGTGGCGCTGGTAGGCGCGGACGGGGCCGCTGCTGGGTAATTTGCAGTTTAATCAGCGTTTGTAATGA